GGGCTAAAACCATTTCCAGCAGGATTTCGGCAGAGTCCTCAGATTCGTCTCCACTGTCATTTCTGAATAAGTGTTTTGGCACTGATGGTTTTTGAGATGGCAGCACTTCAAAATTAAACCAAGGAGTGGTTGGTGCCTTCCTGCCTTGTTGGAAGCATACAGGATAAGTCAAGAGCTAGCGTTAGTTCCAGTCCCTTTATTCTGCAGCTCCAAATGTTTAGGAACATAGAAAAAAAACTACAATTGCCAAAACAGATGGCCATGTAAAGGTTCACTTGTAGATAGTTTATGAAGTGGGAGACATTTCGGGAGTGAATATTAAGTCAACGTTCATGAGATGGTCTAGTCAGTTTTTTACCAAGCAGATATGTGCTACCTGGTTTTTAAAAATGCAATAGCTTATGAATGGGAAGTTTACCAAGCAATGCAAAGTGATCTGTATTCCCCAAAGTTAGTGTCTCTTCATTGGGTCAAGAAAATGAAGGGTGATCCCATACTTGCTTCACCTAGTTCCACTCTGCTTGCAGAGAACATCATCTGGCTCCTGCAGACTCTCTAGGTCTGAAAACGCCTCACATGTGGAGTGCAGAACCCCCCATGATCTTGGTCTTTGAATTTCAAAACGATAGGTTTTTGCAAAAACCCTTTGGTCCCTGCCTATGGATTTGAAAATTGCCTTGCTGGAAATGGATAAAGGAGAGAGATGGGGAGCATGAAGCTGGTTGTCTCTGCTCTAGGAGTTGCCTCTTTCATACAAACATGATAGGACCTGAATCTCCAGTTGCTGGAGTGAGACCTCTGGGCATCTGTTTGCCCTGTAGAAGTGGCTTTAGATCTCTGTGTCCCAAACAATCAAAATCTTTCTCGCTATACAAATGTAGCTGCTTATTGTAGCCCCTGTGAAAGCACATGGGAGCAGGGGATCTTGCTAATTGTACTGAGCCTGCCTGCGTTGCAAGCGTCAGATGATTGGATAGGACTGACATGCAGCTAAATGGACTAGGAAAAGACACTGCAGTGGACTGTTGGTCCATTAGTTTGCTCGGGCAGCTTGTTTTACTAAGGAGTCCTCTAATGGTTTCTGGGCAATAATTACTATCTCTCTTCTTCATGCTATTCAACATGACAGGCATTTGCTGAAGTCGCAGCTAATATATTTGCACTCTAACCGGCCCCAATGCTGAGTTTCCTTGAGTATGTTTGGCTAAGAAATGAATGATGGCCATGTTTTTTCTTTGAGAAAATGTCTCTAATGCAGAAGACCATCGTTTTATGTTGGATACTAAGCAGGCGTGTGGCGTAACATGAGTGCTTGTGAAAAAAATTGATGCATTAGCTGTGGCCTGCCCATTGCATGTCTCCTATATTAGGGGTTGATGATATTAAAATGGTGGGAGGGGGAACTTTTATGGGCCGTTTTACTTATAATGATAACTGCAGACTTGAGCCAAAACTAAAGAGAGGGAGAAGTTTGTATAGCAATGAATTCAGACAACTATCTTGAAGCTGTACAATAGAGAATGATTATTCCTTTATTTCAACTAATTGGGAGGCAGTATTTTATTTTATTTTTGTGTTTCTATTTTAAATTAAAGTGGGTGTCTTAGAATAAAATATTTTATCTTTTTAATTTTTTTTCATTGTTTTCTCATTCACTTCTTTGTGAAGTGTGGTCAGTTTTGCCGATCACCTTATTTACTTTTTAAGTCACTTGAAGCTTCCTAGGGTAGTATTTAAGGTTTAATGAATGAACTTGACTTCTTTTGAGGTTCTTCAATCAAGTTTGTTTGTTAAAGTACAGCATTTAAAGGTAATAAATAACTTGATCATCAATAGTGTGATTGTTTTTGCTATTATAAAATCTTTGGAGGATTTGAAGGTCATGAAAAGCCTTACATGAGAAAATATAGAAGGAAGAAAAAAAATCAGAGAGCTATAGAGCAAATTGTGTAAGGGGTATGCCTTGGATTTTGAAGTCGTTTTTACAACTGTATATATCTGTGGGGAGGTAATTATAATCATTTTTGGGTTTTCTTTCATCCAGTCAGGTCTCAGGTCTCTATTATATTGAATACAATCTCTTTCTTGGAGTGGGGGAGGATGAGAAAACATTAGCAAAAACTCGATTTTTGGCAATTATTTTTCTCTTCTGATTCTAAAACATAAAACAGCTGCCTGATAGAAAAGACTCTTAGTTTTTTTGTATATCAGAAAGAGGAGAAAAAGAACTATCTTAGAAACATATTTAAAGCACATGATGAAAATGAAAGGTTTTTAAAAAACCTTTTAGAATCTGTTTTCTTTGTGCCAGGTACCAGATGTTGATGTTGGCAGTGCTTAAGAGGGTCACAGGGCATTTAAAATCACTAGGCTGTGGGGAATAAAATTCCAGGTCTGTTGCACTGGAGATTATTTAAAACTTGTGTTTACCTAGCGGTAACTAGTACAAAAGTACTTTTTCCATAGCCCCTCTTAAATAGGTACCTTAGAGATGCATGATCAATGAAATTGCTCCAAAATATATTTATGTTCCGATGGATCTGAGCATTATCAAAGTCACTGGTTCCATTTAAGTCTCCTTTTCAATGTGAAAAGCAGACTGCTTTCAAGTTTGTCAGACATGATCAGCCTTACTGTGGAGCCATCCATTTCAAATTAGAGGATGGAGGCTCTGCTACCTCGTTGTACATATGCACAAAAGGCATGTATGCTGCACTTAAGTGATATTTTCTTTGTGTCCCCTAGAAATATAATGATTTGAAGGAAACAAGGCCTTTTGCTGCCCTCTCCATAGTTTCTTCTCTGGGTGAGCTGAAGTTTCTTTCTCTCTGATGGGACTGCAAGGGAGGAATACGTTTTCCTCGACCCTCTTAGGATCCCTCGTTGAATCTGAAAACAGAAGAAAAGCACCCAAGTGTATTGAAAATAAGTCTTAGGTGACACAGAAACAGTCCTAAGGAAATGAAGATCCCCCAAAACAGTTAGCCCTGAGTATTTTGTGCGAGGTTTGATAGGGTACACACAGTTGTAGAAGCATGTGATAGGTTAAGGAATATGAGGAAATTGTGGTAACTGGGGGGAACCTTCGCAAGTCCTGTGTGATAGGATTCTCTTTTGTGTCCCCTTGTCTATGGAGATAGGATGCTCCTTTTCTCTGGGTACAAGAGAGAACCTGGAATATGAGGGTTTTAGGGCCTGTTTCAGGGAAGAAGTGCAAAGGGGAAGGTCAGAGTTACCTTCCTGCCTCTGCTGTTTTCTCCTTCATGTTAAGATATTCAGTATGTCAGGGGCTTCATTTTGGTGTCCTGAACCCCATCAGGATAGTAAGGTTAATAGCTTCAATGTAAAAATGGGATTGTAGAAAATAAAGTCCTGAAAAACAAAACTGGTTCTCACAAGAGTGCCTCTTCGTGTTGATTATAGATTGTTTCTTCTGGCTTTGTAGCTGAAGCACTGGGGAGTCGGATGGTGACTTTACTGAGCTTTTCCAAAGGACAATTAAGCATTTTTGCTGTAATTGTCTTTAAGATTTTACTTAAGAAATTTAAATTTATAATTACAATGGAATTAATTTTTTCTGCATTTCCCTTCTTATTCATTACCTGAAGGAATTAGAGTTTTGGGGTTTTTTTATGTTTTTGTTTTAGTTTTCTGTAAAAAAGGAAATATTTCAAATAGTCTAGCTGTCAGGAAAACACCCCCCAAAAAAACAGAAGGAAATAGGCCAGTATGTCATCAGTCATTGCCTCTGGGTGCTGGAATTATGACTAATTTTTGCTTCTTTATGCTTTTCTACATTTTTAAGACTTTGTACAACTAGAGTATATCACTTGTAAAATCAGAAAAAGGAAATTATATATATTTTTTTCTAATACATAAATGTGATTATGCTAATATATATTATATGCAAATATATATTATATATATTTATATATATTTTATATAATATATATTTTAGCTGATGTTAATATGCCTAAGGAGTCAAACATTGCCCGTTCTAATTGAAGATCCTGGAACCTTGGCTCTGGGCTATAAAAACCAAAGCGCTGTTGATGTTTGCATAACTTTCAAAGCCACCTTCCATTTGGGTTGGGGGTACAGTCATGGACAACCCTCTCACGGGGTTTGCTGGTGACCAATGAAAGCAATTTGTTTACAACTAAAATTGGCAGAAACAGCTGTCCATTGTTGCTGTTACTACCAAATGGTTCTTTACCTTCTACCTCCCATGTATATGTTCTGTGAGTATGTCTTGATTATATTTATAGTGCCCATTCAGTGTATTTTTACAGTGGAAATAGATTTATAGGGTGGTGGGGAGAATTGTGGGGGGTAATTTCAGAGTTTCTTATGTCTATATAGTTTAGTGGAAAATGCAAAATGAATACCTGCTTGCTAGATGGATGCATTTAGGATTCCCTTGTAATTCATAAAATCTTTAGCATAGTTTTGAATGTTACTTCCATTTGGGGACATTTCTTTAAACCATAATGTTTTATAGTCACTTGGAAGCATTACATTGACGACTACTGTTTGGAATCAGAAGACTGCTTTGTTACTTTTTAAGTGTGATCTTAGGGCTAGTGCTTTCCACCTATGAACTTTGTTATCCTCATCTGTAAGATGGGGATACTAATAATACCTTCCATTAGGACCACTGTGGGGTTATATGAAGGTATTTGTAAGTCCATATATGTTTCATTTATTGAATAAGCTACTCTTGGCAAACTCCTAAATTTGAATGGTGGTGATTTGGATCAAATCCCTGAGCTAGAGCCCAGGGCCAAATTATATTTGCCCATTCTACTTGGAAGAGAGGAGGTTAAAGAGATATGGTTTTAATCTTATTTTTGTGAGAGGCTGTGCCTACTGTAACCCCCATAGCTCTTCTTAAAAAACTCAAAAATAGTTACTCATTTTTTTTCCCCTAATTACTTGGCAGAAGTTTGAAATTCAAAGAGAGAAACTAGTAACAACCAACCTTTCTTTCACACTTCCAGATCAACAAAAGGAATTCTTGGGTCCTAGAGACCAAAGAAAGAATCAGCAGGAATGCCCAGGGTGAATTGATGGATTGCAGAGCCTGGCTGGTAATTACTTTCGCTAAGTTAAAACATTAACTTAATACACAGGAGCAGGGCCAGATGAAAATTGGGATTTGGTCATCTTCCTCCCTTCCCCCATGGAGATCCCATACTTTCCTTCTGGAGGCAGCCTTCTCTTTGGTGGGATAGCTCTCCTTCCTTTCCTGGGTCTTGGCATGGATTTTCATGCCCCACCTTGGAAGACCAGTTGGTATCTTTCATTTGGATTGTCCTGGGCAACTGTTGGTGGGGATATATGACTGTTTAGGTCAGTCAACTTTCAGGGTGGCAAGGAACCCCAGTTTTTCAAGAATTTTCAGCTGAGTACCAGATACTGACAGATTTATCTCATTTTAGGGTTCAAATTTCTAGAATTGGCAAGGTTTAGTTTTGGTTGTTTGTGACATCAAGTGCACACCTTGGGATGCTAAGGAAGTTTCATTTAAAAACTAACATGTATTGGTTGTTAATAACTTCCTAGTGTGCTGTGCTATTAAAGATGGAGAAGCCATAATGACATTTAGTGACATTATTGTTTAGTGATGTGTGTTTACCATGGGTTGGGAGGGGCACATATGTATTTTCAGGTGACCGTTCAATAAATAGAACTTGAAAGCTCATTTAATCTACAATGCTGTCAGCCCAACCCTTCTGTTATAAGTGAAGAAATTGGATATCTAGAGAGATGAAATTATTTGCAGCTCATTAGAACCAAAAATGGACTTGAACTCAAGTTTTCTTAGTTCAAGTTGCTTATTACTTTCTGGGGATAAGAATAATAGCTATCTTATGGGATTTAGAAAGAATCCAATTTTTTAAAAAGTGTATATTCAGGGCTAGGAACAATGACAGATGTGGAAAAAGACTTAACAAATGAAAGCCACCATCATTGTCATTATTATTTTTACTTTTTATTATTGCTACCATTACCACCACTATCACCATCACTACCACCATGTTTTATAAGATAGTATGCATCATGTTGTAGAAGACGACCTTTTGCTAGCAAATTGAACTGGGTACTCAATTGATCAGGACTCCATTCAAAGGAAATTCAAAATGCTTGACTCTTTGTCTTCCTTAGAGAGCCACAAAAGGCATGGGTACACGATAATTGAATTTGCAAACCTAATTTTGAATTTTGAGCATTTTGTGTGTGCTTATGGATTGGTTATACCTCTAACATACAGAGATTTGTCAAATGTGATTCTAGAGAAATACACCCTCTTGAAACAGCAGGGATTCTGTGGAACCATGATTGATAGTTCAGCAGTCTCCTGAACTTCCTTGTTTTCTTAGGCTTCTATATGGAATGTATAATGTTTCAAGTATTTAAGTTTCCTAATCCTGTTAGCACAGGGCTTTAAATTGGAAAACTTTAGTTATAAAATCTATTCTGATGTAATTATTTAAAAGATCAGACTATTGAGGAATTTTTGGTGACATGGGAATATACTCACAATATATTAATTGAAAAGAAGTGGACACAAAGCTACAAATAGTATGATCACAACCTTGTGGCACGTAAAAAAGGTGTGTGTGTGTGTGTGTGTGTGTGTGTGTGTGTGTGTATGAAATATGAACTACTGGAAGAAAATTTACCAAGTGAGTAATAATAGTGTTATCTTTTCTCTGGGTAGATTAATAACAGCTTTTAAAAATTTTTACAAATAATTTTTTAACTTTCTTTAAATTACCTGCAACTCACTTCTCATACTTTATATAAATTAAGAAGAAAGAAATTGTCAGCTGTGCCTTGGTAACATAGTTATTGGTTAATGCCATTTTGTGCCATACAGTGTCTGACTCTGTGTTTGATGTACTTGCCATCTTACAGGCAGAGTATTAGAAAGAACGTGTGTTTCAGAGTCAGATAGGCTTGGGTTTCCACCCCATTGCCTTCGTTGAAGAGCTTTGGAATTGATTGAGTTGCCTCTCTGAATCTTAGTTCTCATTAAATTGGGCTGCCATCTCCTTTGCAAGGTCCCTCTTCTTTTTTTATAATTGAGGTAAGATTGGTTGATAAGATTACATAAGTTTCAGGTGTACAACATTATAGTTTTAATATGTGAATGCATTATAGCATGCTCACCAACAAAAGTCTAGTTTCCATCCATCACCATATAATTGGCCCTCTTTACCCATTTTGCTCTTGCCCAGCACCCCTTCGCCTCTGGTAACCAGCAATCTGTTGTCTGTATCTATGAGTTTGTTTTTGTTTTATTTTGTATTCTACATATGAGTGAAATCATTACAGTTTTGGTCCTTTTCTATCTGACTTATTTCACTTAACATAATACCCTCTGCCCCATCTATGTTTTTGCTGATGGCAATATTTCATCTTTTTTATGGTTGAATAGTATTCTGTTGTCTATACCAGGGGTGCCAAAAAATGTATACACATGACTTGTATTCATCTTTTGTTCTCGGTTTGTATTGAGTATTACAATTTTAATACAGTTTTTTTTTCTTTCTTAAAATGTGTATACATTTGTTTGGCACCCTCTGTATATACCACATCTTCTTTATCCTTTCATCTGTCGATGGACAATTAGGCTGCTTCCGTATCTTGGCTGTTGTAAATAATGCCTCCTTTGCAAGGTTTCTTAATCCTGAAAGTGATTTGCTCTTGGAGGTGCTCACTAAATAGTAGCTCCTTTTCTTCTCCCAACCACTGCCCTTATTTCCCAACTGCCTTCACCAAATTCCACAAGGATCAATTCAGGGAATAAAGGAGCTTGGAAAAAAGTTTCAGATTCATACGAACATTTTTGGTGGTTTGCCTCTTTAATCATGCCTTTACTGTAAAAGTCTCACATCCTTGGGAACCAAACTCATGACAATCATGAAATGTCTTACTTCAAAGGATGAGGAAACCGAGCAAACCAAAATCATGATGAGCTCTCTGGAGCAGGGTTAGGATCGGCCTGGGAATGTTGAGCAACAGCATCACCATTCACCTCTCACTGGCAGTGATGTGGAGGGTGTGGAAAGGACTCTGGGGCTGAGGTAGGGTTTATAATTGCATAGCCGTCTGGCCTTCCCCAAGCATTCTTTTCCCTTCCAGGATTCCTGTAATTGTCATCAGATGGCTCAGTCTTCCAAATGTTTCCGGTATTGCAGTGACTTCTGGAGTGTGTTTAAAAAAAAAAAAAAGAAGCCAGAATTAGCAGCCATCATCTCTTTGTGTCTCTTCTGTTGTGTGTAGATGCAGTTCGGGCATCTCTGGACCATAGAGAAACCAGCCAGATGTACAGGAGCCCTCCTTACCATCTTCTCTTGAGCCTTCCCATTTCCTTTGCTGGTTCTTTTCCACCTGCACTGCTTTAAAGGAAAAAATAAATAAGTGAGGACCGATGCAGGCAGTGGTCCTATTTCCTACACCAGACAGCTGTCCTCTTAGCTTCATTATTTATGGGGACTTTCATAGAGCATTGCCTCTTTCTTGGATCTGCTAAAGGCCTAAGGGAGGCTGAGAGTTGGACAGTGAGTGAACTCTGGGGAGAATGATGCAAAGTCTTGGGCTACCCATTGTCATGGGGGAAACAGAGGCATTTGAGACAGACCCTGCATTTCATCTGATAAAATTTGAGTGACAGAAATGATAGCATTAATTGGGAAAGCAGGTGTTAAGGTGGAAAGAACAACCCAAAAGCACAGAAGTGGAAAAGTTAGTTATGTTTGGGAGGTGTATGTGATGCAACCTAGCTTAAAAATGAGAAAAACTTCATAAATTTGCATTTGTGTTTTGAATAGGGGTCAGTGTATTGATTCTAGTTTTAGGTGGAATGCTGTCTGTAAAGTTGAGATATAAAAGGAATGGCCCATGCTCTCAAAGATGGTTGCATTTTGAGTCTTTCAAGGTACTTAAAATTTTCCTTCATCATATGTCTAGAACTGAAAACCCCAATACAAAAAGATGTCATGTACGGGGCTATTTTTTATCAGATAAGCTCCTGTAATTTGGCATTGACTGCTTTTCTAGGAAGGGGAAGATGGCCTAAATAAAAAAAAAAGAAAACCTAATTTTTAAAAAAATGCAGTGATTGACACACCTAAACTCGTTTTTCCATCCCCTCATTCCCCAAACTTAGACAGGGTAGAGAGATGGTATAGAACTCTTCAACTAGATCATATTGGGAAATGTTGGTTCTTTTCTCAGTTGAAGAGAACTGACACATTTTTCTCTGATCTGTGCTGTTGGCTGAGAAATTATGCTTTTTAAAAGCTACTTTGCTTTACTCTTTTTTACTTATCTAACTAGTAATACAGTTCAGTGCATTCTGGTGCCCCTGATTGTCTAATGGACTCGGCTCTAGACAGTGATGTTAACTGTTGACTTCTTTAGGTTAAACTGCGCTTTTATAGTCGTTATATGGATTTTTAAAAATAAGCTAAATACTGATGCCTATCCCCAAAACCATCCTTCCTCTTTCTTCCCATCCTACCTCTTTCATCTTGGAGTTGGGAGATAAGAACAGGAAAGCCCCCAATCTTAGCAAGGGTAGGAGATATCTCAAGATTCATATTTTTAAAAGTGAAAACATGATAGTGTCATTTTCCTTGGCAGTGCTTGGTCTAAGAGTAGTCATGTGCCTAAGTTTTGGCCAGTAATTTGTAAGAGGAAGTCTGCTGTGAGAGGATAGTGAAAGTTTCTCATCTGGAATGAAAAACAAACTACTGCTTGGATTTTGGCTGTGATGCTTGGTGAGGCAGTGAGCAAGCGTTACACCACAATAAGAAAGGCAGACCTGTGTACTTGACCCAGCACTGGGCTGCTACCTCTGACTGCTCATTCTGTGAGACAACTAATTATTTCAGTTCTTATAAACTGGAGCCAGCCTAATTGCTATCTAATAAAATGTTTCTATGCTTTCATCATGCCCCTTCTATTATTTTCCTTTCAGATTTGTAAAGTATTTCTTAATCTAGAAGTCACACGATCCACTGTCTATCATTGAAGATATTTTCTGTTTCTAGACACAAGAGGCAATTACACCTTTGGG